TCGCTGGGCATGTGTGTGTGTGCCCAAGATCCCAAGAGGAGAATGGAGGAGAAGGGATTGTGATGTGGCCATCCCCCCTGGGGATGATTTCTCGCTTTCTGTCTCTCTGTCTCTGTCTGTCTGGCGAGCACACGTGCCCTATGGCAAAAAACGCTCAAAAAAAAAAAAAAAAAGAAAAAGAAAAAGAAAGAGAAATTTCAGAGAAGCTTAATAAACAATTCTGAATGACGATTCTTAATTACAATTGAGCAAATCCTAATTGTTTACTAATTAAATTTTTTGGTGTACACTGGAATTCCAAAAACAGTTATCCACTTAGGGAAGAAGAGCTCCAAGAAGCCCCCGGGGTTTACCTAGTGTAAAAGACTGGAAGTGGGCAGTTACAGGTGCTGGCGCCCCAGCTGGATTTCACAGCTACTAATAGCACAAGCTCTTTCGTTGTTGTAGTTAGCTTGTGTAACAGCTGGCAAAACAGCACTGTTCGTCATTGCATTTACAATGCAAAATTAGGGCTATCTTTTGTGTCAGAGAATATGCATTTTTAAGCAGATGTCACTGATATTAGAAATAAAACAGCAATAGGGATCCAAGCCCTGGAGGAAGTCAGGCTGAGAAGCGGTCCATGCCCTTCCCTAAATGAAGCTCACCCACGCTCAAAATATTTAAAAGAACAGGAGGTTATACTCAGCACTTACGATTCCTTATCTTGGGAATGATTTGGCAGGATTCAAAACTCTTTGGAGAAAAGAAATTTCTGTCCATAGGTTTTTGTTTTGTTTTGTTTCTAGAACAATAATAGCAGCTATACATTCTACAGTTGTCCTAATTTCAGGTATTTTATTTCATTGTTCCTTTTTCTGTGTGTGTGTGTGTGTGTGTGTGTGTGTGTGTGTGTGTGTTTAGGGTTTTGCATAGGGTTCATGTACCTGGCCAGAGAGAGACAGAGAAAGAGAGAATGAAAGTGAGAAATCACCTCTGCAAAGGGGATGGCCATGTTGTAGTACCCTCTCCTCTAACTCTCCTCTCAGGACTGTGGGCATGCACACACATGCACCCTGCGTGATTTTCAAGGTGTCAGGTTTGGGACTTGAACCATGGTTGGCCATTTGGGAATCCAATGCCTTAACCACCATACCACCTGCTGGCCCCAATTTCATTGTTCTTGTAAGTCAGAAATCTCTACCCAACCACTGGTCTGCAGACCAACTATGGCCCTCCTAAGATTCTTGTCTCAAAAATAAAAATGTAAGTGAAATAACAACTTAATAGTAAGGAAGGTGAAAAGTTTAAGGAAGCTCTTCTTATCACAGCATTTTGTTTTGTTTCTAACAGAGCGTTTATTACTACCTGGTATAGTCTTACTGATGGTCTGTCTCCCCCTCACTAGAATGTAGGATCTGTGAGACAATGACAGTCTTACTGGTGGTCTGTCTCCCCTCACTAGAATGTAAGATTTGTGGGACAATGGGGGGTAGCTGGTCCTGTTCATCCAGCATGCCTCTACCCGCCTCTGGCACACCAATCACTCTTTACAAAGTGGCTGCATGGCCCCAATGTACCAAGTGCAATGCAGGGAGGAGAGACCTGCTCTGGGAGTGTCGAGGGGCCTGGACTGCTATTTTATGTGGGATCAAGCACACTCTTAGAGCTCACTGGATTCATTTACTCATTCAAATAACATTTATTGAGAGACCCTGGCATAACAGTCCCAGGTCCGGGACTCAAACCACTGTTGGCCCTCTGGGATTGCAGCACCTTAACTACCAGGCCGTCTGCTGGCCCCTGAGCAACTTATTTAACATCTCAGTACCTTGGTTTCCTCACAATAATCAGGGAGAGAATCAGGGAGTACTGTGCACGGAATGTTGTGTTTCCTTAAACTCCTATGTTGAAATCTTAAGTGCCAGGGTGATGGTATTAGGAGACGGGCTTTGGGAAGTGATTAGTGAGGGTGGAGCCTCATGAGTGGGATTAGTGCCTTTATATAAAGGCCCAGGAGAGCTTGCAGCTCTCTTGCTCTGCCCCCCACTGTGTGAAGATGCAAGAAGGCTGTCTGCAAATCAAGATGCTGGATCTGCCAGGAGCCTCCAGAATGGTGACTTCTGCCGTGGAAGCCCCCAGGCGACGGTACTGTGCAATAGCAGCCCAAACCGACTAAGACAGGGAGGGAACATAAATCAAATGGAGCAGCGTCCAGTGGTGGTAAAGTCAGAAACCTTTTATGCTCCATTTCCTGTCGCCTACAGATGTTCTTCTTAGGGCTCTGATAAAAAATGTGAGGGTATTCTGTGTGTGTGTGTATATATATATATATATATATATATACACACACACACACCATATTTTCTTTATCTGTTCATCTGATGTGGGATATCTCGGTTGTT